ATTTCCCGCGGCCTTGAAGACATCAATGACATCATCGTCGTCTCCAGCTGTCTCAGAAACGTCATCGTCATCGTCCGCGATCGCGGACAAAATCATGAACATTTTCCGCGGCCGTGTAGACATCATCGTCGTCTCCCGCGGTCACGGAAACGTCATCGTCATCTCCCGCGGTCACGGAAACGTCATCGTCGTCGTCCGCGATCGCGAGAAACTCATGAACATTTCCCGCGGCCGAGCAGATATCATCGTCGTCTCCCGTGGTCACGGAAACGTCATCGTTATCTCCCGCGGTCACAGAAACGTCATCGTCATCTCCCGCGATCGCGACAAAATCATGAACATTTCCCGCGGCCGAGCAGATATCATCGTCGTCTCCCGCGGTCACGGAAACATCATCGTCATCTCCCGCGGTCACGGAAACGTCATCGTCGTCGTCCGCGATTGCGGCAAAATCATGAACATTTCCCGCGGCCGTGTAGACATCATCGTCGTCTCCCGCGCTCACGGAAACGTCATCGTTGTCGTCCGCGATCGCGGCAAAATCATGAACATTTCCCGCGGCTGTTTAGACATCACCGTCATCTCACGCGGTCACGGAAATGTTATCGTCATCGTCCGCGATCACGGCAAAATCATGAACATTTCCCGCGGCCGTGTAGACATCATCGTCCTCTCCCACGGTCACGGAAACGTCATCGTCATCTCCCGCGGTCACGGAAACGACATCGTCGTCGTCCGCGATCGCGACAAACTCATGAACATTTCCCGCGGCCGAGCAGATATCATCGTCGTCTCCCGCGGACACGGAAACGTCATCGTTATCTCCCGCGGTCACAGAAACGTCATCGTCATCTCCCGCGATCGCGACAAAATCATGAACATTTCCCGCGGCCGAGCAGATATCATCGTCGTCTCCCGCGGTCACGGAAACATCATCGTCATCTCCCGCGGTCACGGAAACGTCATCGTCGTCGTCCGCGATTGCGGCAAAATCATGAACATTTCCCGCGGCCGTGTAGACATCATCGTCGTCTCCCGCGCTCACGGAAACGTCATCGTCGTTTCCCGCGGTCACGTAAACGTCATCGTCGTCGTCCGCGATCGTGACAAAATCATGAACATTTCCCGCGGCCGAGCAGATATCATCGTCGTCTCCCGCGGTCACGGAAACGTCATCGTAGTCTCCCGCTGTCACGGAAACGTCATCGTCGTCTCGGAAACGTCATCGTCGTCGTCCACTATCGCGGCAAAATCGTGAACATTTCCCGAGGCCGTGTAGACATAATCATTGGCTTTTGTGGTTACGTAAACGCAAGACGACGATCGCGGCAAAATCATGAAAATTCCCGACTTTGAAATCAAATTTAAGACTAAATCCCGACTTTCAAGACCATTTTGAAATTCAATACTAATTCCCGACTTTCCCGATTTTCCCGACTACTAGACACCCTGTGAATTGTGGCATGGTGCCACTATTTCGAGTGTAAGCTGGAGCGAGAATTGGCAACGTAGCATTAGGAAAGTTATAGTTCCGGCGGACGGCGCGAGGCGCGCTAGCTACCTGTATGGTTTCGTGTTCCACAATTCGGTGTGTACCTGCGCTACTTAAACTCACATCAACGAGTTCAAAAATACTCAATTGTGGCATGTGATGTTTAAACGACGTAATAATGCTGGAAAACCTCAAAAATGATCGAATTAGCTGTGGCACCCTGAAAAAGGTGCCACAATTTTTGAAGGTGCCACAGTACGGCCGTGTGCCTGTGAAGGATGCCACTATTCGGTGAATACAAACACACACACACACATATATATATATATTAAAATAAAAATCAAAAACATATTTAACAAAGTACCCTTTTAGTAATTATTTTATTTTTCATGACAACATGTTTCGGAACTAAGTCCATTATCAAGTCATTTTTACCATAACCTCATTCTTTAAACTAACAAAATTAAAAATGTAATCATATGTAAAAATAATAAAATATAAACTATGTTAACTAAATCTTAAAAAATTTTGGTATTAATTTTTCACTATACTATATGAATGTTTTTCTTTTCTTCCTTAGTTTTTCAATTTTATCGTAGATAGGTTGGTTTAATTTTGGAATCATTGTGTTAAGTATGTTGTTGGGGTCCTTTTTGTTGTGTATATAAATATTTAGCTCTTCTTTTACATTAAGTTTCTCACGTTCTTTTTCGTATTCTAAAATTGTTAGATTTTCGACAGTTATCGCGTTCACGGATGTATATCAATTAATCAATCAAATATTCTTTATTCATAAAGTTTAGACGAATAGCGTCATTATACTAACATAAACAAAAAATTATAAACTAAATAATTAAAATCATTCACAAAGGATGTATATAGTAAAACTAAAAATAAATGCTGTAACTTTAAAAATTCACAAAATCTTAGAAGGTAAAATTCACGTCAGAAGGTAGTGTATCTGGAATTCAAATGGTCGTTTCGAGATTACAATTTAAAAATTCTTTGATAGAATAAAGTGGGTTTCTTATCAATAAGTCTTTTAGTAGGCTTTTGTATCTGTTTGTAAAATTTTCTTTTTTAATTGAAATAGGTAATTTTTGAAGACATTTTAATCCTGCATATGATGGTTTTTTTTGTATAGAATTCTAAATTATGTCTAGGAAGGTTAATTTGAAAGCGTGTGTTTTATTTACTTGCAGTGGATAATGGATAAAATTGTTTTGCAAAAATTATTGTCTCATAAATATACAAACTGTAAACTGTTAATACACCCAATTCAGGAAAGATATTTTTCACTGAATCTGTTCTTTTTAATTTCATGATCACTCTAATAGCTTTTTCTTGTTTTATAAGTATTTTATCCAAATTCGCCTTAGTTGTTGCTCCGTAAATGGCGATTCCATAGGATATGTGGGAATGAATTAGAGAATAATAGATTATCCTAAGAGTTTCCAAGTTGCAAACCTTGGACATCAGACGCAAGGCATGAATGCCAGGTGATAATTTATTTACTAGTTACTACATAGTTTATGTGATCCCAAGATAGATTTTTATCAATGACCAGTCCCAGAAACTTTGTTTGGTTTACCTGACCAATTTTGTCTGTTTTTATAAAAATACTAGCTGGCCCGACAGACGTCGTCCTGTCCTATTGTGGTTTTATGTCACATGCTCGTTCATTTTCAAGATGAGCTCGTTCGCATGGCTCAATCACGTCATGGTTGAAGTTCGTTCGCTACGCTCACTCACCTTTAGGTTGGAGCTCGTTCGCTGCGCTCACTTGCCTTCAGGTTAGCTCGTTCGCTACGCTAACTCGCCTCTAGGTTGAAGTTCGTTCGCTACGCTCACTCACCTTTTGGTTGCAAATTAACTGTTCTCATAAATTAAAAATAAATATAGTGCTGCACCCTGTTGGTAAACCTATTAACTTTTTAATGCTATTGAACATCACAGAATCAAATTGTTTAGTTGCACCAGCTGTTAAAATTCTTTAATTCCATTTAAATATGAGTACTTATAAGGTTAACATGGGAAACTCCAGAGCCACTGGGGCGGAGCCCTATTGACGGATCTGCACCAAACTTCACACAAACCATCCTTGAATAATGCTTAATAATGCCTGAAAGTTTCATTACAATCTGTCGAGTGGTGTTGGAGTCCATAAAGGACAAACATACAAATATACAAATATACAAACATACAAATATACAAGTATACAAACATACATTGAATTTTATATATATATAGATAGGTTCAAATTTAATGCTGTTATTGATTGTTTAGTTGAAAAGGATATTGGATTTGATTTTGTTGTGCTGATAAGCAGATTTCTTTCATCCAAAAACTTTTTTATAGATAGAAGACTCCTGTATGAGGATTTTTCAATTATTAAATTGGATTTTCCTGAAAACAAAACATTTGTAAGGTACCAAATTTTAAGGGGGGTAAAAATGTACTACGAATAAATGAACACCAGAACTTACCCGATTTTTAACCACAATAGGCTACTCCTGGGCCTATGTGTTGGCCATAGCCTGGGCTATAGGCCAAAGAACGTAGGCCTATTTTTATTCACAGTGAAGTATACAAACACATCCACAACTACATATTTATTCATAATAGCACTTCGTTTCACATAATAAAGTTAAACCGGCCGATTTTACAGATATTCAACGACGCCGACGACAAAACCTAAAACTGGTGTTTGTTGATTGACGATGACAGACGATAACTAGACCAAATCCCCGATCAGCTGTTTGCTAGTTTCTGAAATCGCCACCGCAGCGCTTGAGCCGCGGCCGAGGAAACCGGGATTTGAGCCGGACAAGAATTATTCGCTGTTCGACCGTCGACTCGTTCACGAGAAGCCTCTTCGCGCAACGAAACTAACTTCGCCATACGATATTGATTCAGGTTAGCTACGTTTTCAGACTTTCCTACTTTCATTTAAATATTCTTTTTAGCGAATTTCCCTATAGGGAATAAGCTATTAACCAAAGAAATAATACTCTTGAGACAGAAAATTACGTCAGAATAAATTGTTCTTACCGTGTACGTAGTAGACTAGATTTCCCAATACTGTTATGTACATAAAACGATGCTGGCGACCATAACCTCTTGAATTATTCTCCCAAGTGGAGGTGTTTAGGGATAATCTAAGCAAAACTACGACGAAAAACGAATTTAAACTATAAAATAATCAAATGTATTTCTCATTAATGTTTTCATGACAAGGAACAATATTGGACACAAAACAGACAGCTGATAGTAAAAACAACATTCATATCATCTGTATGACTATTACAAATAAATAGAAAAGGCAGGCATTTTCAACAACAACTAAAACAATAAAATTCACGTTCAATTCTCGGTTTCCCAGTACCCAACTGTGGATCAAGTTTTCACATAAATTATTAACATATTGAAAAATACAAGAGATTATAAAAATTGGACAATAAAACACTATGAGTGGCTCATTTAACTATATATTCTTTGAATAACTGACCTGCCACTACCGATGGCTGGCAGAGCCAGAGACTTGATGTTTCGCTGATCAGCTACTGTGAGACAGTTGTGTACGGCTTTCTCCAGCTTGTCCATAGAATCTGCTTCATTGAAGCTAGGCAAGTTGATGTGAATCACCCAACGAGCCGTAAAATTATGGCCTGGGCAAACCACCGCTGCCAAACCAGATCAAAGTATAAAATGTTGAGCTTTCTTTTTTACAGTGGCAATGAATCTAACATTTTATATCTAACATCATGTTGAAAGTTCAAGATCAATCCACTTGCTACATGTTGTATACATGTTCTCAGAATAAGGTTGGTTGGATTCTATTACTGGTCAATGTTACCTTCAATTTTTTTGTCAAGATTTAGAATTTTTTTAAACAGTCGATTTGAGTAATGATTTTGGTTTAGTAATTGGACTGTTAGCCACAACTAAAACTTAAGATATCAATAGATCACACCAAAGAACTGTATATGGTAAATTTAACAATAACCAGTGGGTAAATATTATTGTATTTCATACTCGAGACTATTAATTAATCTGATCATGTAGAAAACAATATGTTTTTTAAAGCCATATTCAGCTATGTCCACACTCGTTTTTGTGTGCGCCAAGTGCATTCCTCTTAGCAAATGCCTTGACGCAGATGGACGCAAGTAACGCATGTGTCAAGGCATGTCCGAAATGAGTCAGAAGAAGCTCTATTCCATAGCGCAAAACTATCCACCAGCCTTCGATTTCTGTGTGTTTTCAACTTGCAACTGCTTTCCATTTTTGACTAGTCGTCCGTGTTGTAGTTGTTTGGAGTAACATGAATAACAAAGAAACCGTAGAATTCATAGAAGATTATCGCTCTCATGTGTGTTTGTGAGAAATACGGAGTAATCAATAAAAAATAATAAAATTTTACTAAATAGGTATATTAAATCATGAAAATTATGTTGCATTAAGAAATAAATAAAATAAAATAATACAGGAAAATTACAAGTTTTATACTATAACACTCTTTCGTCCACAATGTAGGCCTTGATTTCCTTCCTTTCTTATGTTTTTGAAATTTCCTTAACACTAAATATGCCGTACTAATTCCTCCCAACAGAATAGCTTGGTCCTCATCCATCTAGGAAAAGACATCTAAAAAGTGAAGCATGAGTGTGGACAGCTGAAACAACACATGCCTTGATGGATGTTGAATTGAATATTGAATCAAATGTTGAATGGCACGTTGAAATTAAAAGTGCACGAGTGTGGACATAGCCTTTGATGTTTAAGACTTCTGTTGACAGCAATAGTTTAAACATTTTGTAACTCAAGTGTTAACATGGCTTAAATACAAGTACTGTAAACATAAGTTTTCAGCACCTTGTAAAATACTCAAGTTCTGTTGTGGAGACTAAAAACTACCGTTCTTAAAATTGTTGCAAACTTTTGTTTAAAACTTGAGTAGTCAACTCCAGTGTAAACTTAAATGCTTAAATAATATTTTTTCATAAGGCATACATTTTACTATAGATAGAACATACTCTCTAAGTAGATTTTTCATCCTTATAGAACAGCTGAAGCAAATTTGATTGTTGGTTCTGTACGCCCAACTGTAGAGGTTGTGTTTTGTGTACAATTTGTTTCTTGTTATTTCAGTAAATTAAAACCTCATTTAACCAAATAAAACTATATAATCATAAACAATAACTGGTCTCCTAGTTAATAACAAAATAGTAAAGCACAAATCATGAATATAACCCTAAAATAATAGAAACAAAATTTTGTCCATCCCAGCCATCAGTGATAACATACATAAACTAGATACAAAAAACAAGCTTCTTAATTATTTACAATGGAATGAGGAGTCTACTTGTGTTGCTTAGTCTAAGATTTTACCTTCAGCTGTATCCAAATTGCCATGCGTCTGTTTGAGTGAATGCACCTCCTATAACAAATTATATTTGGCAAAATTATGCAGATAAAAGATCAAACTAGTTCTCATTCATGAACTTAATAAATAGGTGATGTGTATGCAAACTTCAACATAGAGAAATTGAATAGGTGACTTGAATAATGGTGCAAGTGGATGCAAGGCAATGAAAGAAGAGCTTGTCAGTTAGCATCAATATGGTAAATTTTATAATTATAGTTAAAATAAAAATAATCATATTAAAAGGCAACACAGAAGACTCTCTACAATATGGAAGGTAGTGCCACATTAATGACAACATCGGATTAATGTGGGTCATAAAAATAAGTCTCTAAAGGATGTAAATAGTAAAATATTCATTTTATCAAATTTCACAGTGTCAAATAACTTATAATAACTAGGGGTGCACTGATGAAGTTGGTACAGTAGGATTCTGGCCTAATTATCGCAATTGGTTCGGTACAGCCTTCAATAATTAATTTCATTCAATTAACTATCATAGTCAAAAGGTATTTTTTTCAAGTCTAGTCAAAAAGTACAACTAACGAGACCAAATGGATTTGCATAGTTGTCACTCAATGTGAGCAGACCAGACGACAAGCAGACATGATGTAAGCAAGAATTGTTTAGTTGGGTTATCAAAAGAATATTATATATAAATACATTAGCAGTATAATTATATTTGTTGTTTCATTATATTCCCTTGTTCACCAATAAATAATAAGAAACATGGATACGATCAATTTGCAGATAATGATGCAAAACACTGTAGCCTAGCAGCCGATAAAGTCAGCTACGAGGTGAAGAGGTTAGAACTACAATACACAGTCTGTATTTCCTTAACGGCGGGACATATTTCCTTAAGTGGGTCCTCAATGTTTTTCTTATAGAAATTTATTTCACCGACAACCTGTTTCACCCCAATCGCAAGAGACGTTGATGAAATCTGCAAGACCGCAAAAGATCTTTGCAATTTCGCCGTAGGAGTTGTCACTCACTATTTATTTGCGATGGCACAAGATTTTATTGCGACCCCGGGAGTCGAAGATCATGTCCTCGCAAACTTGGAAAATTTGTACGATTTCTACTTCATCGCAGAATACAAAGAGGATGACTCCGTGACCACGCAAGATGTTCACTATTCTTCTGCGACTATCAGGACATTCATGATTCCACCGCGATCGGAGGAGACAAATATGACGTATCCACACTCACGCAAGATGGTCACTATTCCTCCGCGGCCACATGAGTCGTTAATGATTACAACGCAATTGGAGGAGATAGAGATTGCGTTTCTCGCGCAAGATGTTAAATATATTTATCGGCGGCACTAAAGAAAACGCTTAAAATGTGGACCTGATTAAAGATTTTGTATAAACCGATTATAGTAAATTAATAAATAAATTTTAAATTATTTATTTAAAACTAACTGATTTGTATCCATTGCTCGAAGGTCAACATTTTATACTCAACCCGAAAAGAATTTAAAATGCGCCGACCTAAGCCCCATAATATTATTATTTTAAAAAATAATATACTCATTTATTAGCTAGTCTCCAAGGTCTTTTTGCCGATCAGATTTTGGAAACATAGGGTCAATTCATCAAGTTATTGAAGCGAAACCACATGTATTTCTAAAACTTGAAGTTCCAACCTTTGAAGAAACAGAATATAGAGGGGCCTCTCTGGTGAGAGCTGCCGGGGGCCTCATCGATTCTAAATACGGCACTGATAATCCCATAGTCTATTTTATAATTCTCTTTAAATGGACAGTGTAATAATAAAATTCAATTTAAATCTTTTTCATAAAATAATTTTAAATACACGCTAATAACCGGACCAGTATTACTGTAGAAATTGTGGAACATTTCCAATTAATATTAATTCTATACTAGCAACAGAGCCCGTTGTGGTTAAATACAACGGAACGGTCTCTAGTATCTAAAAGTAGTAAGTAGTACAGTACAATGGTTATGAAATCCATACACCACTTAACTCACTAATATTAATGGTACAGATTAAGCACATAACACACTTTAAACACAAATGCAAATTGTTAACAACAACATTTAATCAAACAAAAATAAGTTTAATAACAATATAACAATAAGCTGTTAAATTATTATCACATGTTTCGTATGATTAGATTATGCATACTGGTAAACCAACTGTTGCAATCGATAAAAAATATTGGTTTTTCTTTTCCGAGTCGGGTTTTTAGCTTTTCTACCAGACCGTTTTTCATAATTTTGGCCTTAAACTAAAGGTATGGACACACCACAGATTCGCCATCAAGCATCGGCATTCATTTTTACATATATATTTCGAATTTCGAGCTATGCACAAACTACCTCCCTGTACATTTCTTGTAGGAGTTAAATTTGGGTTTTTTTCTAGTTCGTTTGGCTCTTCTACCCAACCGATTTTCGGCTCTTCTACCCAACCGATTTTCATAATGTTAGTCTTAAAATAAACTATGCAAGCACATATTTGTCATCAAGCATCATCATTAATTTATCTAATGTATGACTCGACAAAAAAATATAAATTAGATTTTTTTACTTCAATTGAAGATGTATTCCAGCAGTTCTAATTACATTACCCTATTGGTTTTGGTCTAAAAACCTTTAGTGAAATACCAGCTTTCATTTGAGCTATTGATTATTAAGATCGGACTACCTGCACACTGCTGAATCACGAATCAACAATAATTATAATTGTTTTAGTATTTATTGCAATCAATGATACGTAACTCATTTTTCATTTAAGTTATTTTACATGTCTTGGTCTTAAAATACTTCTAGAAGTAAACTAAAGGCTTTCATTTGAGATATTGATAGTTTTAATCAGTTAAGTTTAAGATACTGTATCGCTCAATCAAAAAAAATAAATTTGATTAAATATTAGATCCGGAATTTAATTACTTTTAGATATATTTACTCAATTCTAAATTATGTTATCCTTTTTTTTTACCTAAGAACCCTCAGTGAAATACCAGTTTCCATTTGAATTATTTATTATTGATTGGACGTACCTAAAGCACACTGCTAAATCACTAACAACCCAAATTGTTCAAAAAATGGAGTTATTTATCATCGATTTATAGTCAACGATCTTGCAGTTTTACCCTCCCTGATGCAGCAAACCTAAGTACTTGTTAAACTAATTCTATTTAAATCGGGAATAAATAAATCCAATCTGTCAAATGGAAATTCGCTTAGTCTCCAGGTTTGCTGCGGCGGGGGTATTTCATCATTACTACATACCTCACCAAAAGCTGTCTGCGACGAGTCACTGGTTGGCACAAATAGTGAGGTTGCTCAGGGCTTTACTTATTGTTATCTGGCGGATAAAAGCACCAAATTTGACATGAAGCTACCTTAGGATACTAATAAATTTTAGCCTAGGAGCCTACTGGAGTTCTTAAAAATTTTCAAAAAATCACGTGGGAATATATATTTACGAGGAACTACTACTACGAATAATAAAAACTAGTAAACACGTTGCTCGAAATCGAGCAATTGCAAAGAAGTAAAGTAGTTATTTAAAATAAAAAACAAATAAAAGCCATCATAATTTTCAATGAGTTTAAAAGACGTTGAATTGAAAAATAAATAACAGCAATTAAATTATACAGCTGATCAAAATGTAAACAATTACGTCCTTCATAAGGATAACATGGGAACTTAAACAGCCACTGGGGCAGAGCCCAAGAGACTTTTTCAAAAATGTAAGGTGAGTTTGCAAATCTACGCGACACGCTCTTTCCAATGAGACGTCAATGGATAAAATCGGTTAAGAAATGGCGGAGGAGTTTAACCGACAAAGTTTCATGTAGCGTATTAATTATATAGATAAACTAGATTTTATGATGTTGTGTTGCAGAATTTGTATTAGATTTAATTAGTGAAGGGTAGGTACCACTTTTTCAATGTAGGTTTCGGTATCAGTTCCTAACTAAAATCGGTTCTCGGTTTTGGTACCATCGGTACCTCATTTTAAATTATGCTACTTAACTGTTTTATTTGAAAAAACAAAATATCCATATACCAATTTTAAAAACTGATTATTTTTCATTACTGTTGGTTGGTTATATTAAGGGATTAAGAAAATAAAACTTGAGGCTATTTGTACAAACAAAACTTTGACAACCAAACAAATTCAAATCAAAACAATAACCATACCTGAAGTGTTAAATATAGGCCTATTTGTGGAAGTGATTCACTGTTAAACCAATAAATTTAACTAAATATTTAGAAGGAAGTAATTTTGAGTCATTTTGTACCTATAAATTGCATTAGGTTAATTTTAAGCTCCATTATTAAGGGAAATTTAGAACTTAGTACAAAAGTATTTATATGGAAAGGACGTTTTGAACTTAACTTTTTAGAAAATAGGACTTAGAACATATTCATTTGAGGTCTACAGAGTTACAGGCTTGTTGAAAAAATGATTTAACAAAAGTTTGGTTTGGGATGATGGTTTTTTGTAGGCTTAGTGCCTGTACCGGGTGTATTGTGGGTTTAGGTAAAAAGTAGGGATGGACGGGATTGAATTTTTAGTTCGGGACGGGACGGGACGGGATTTTTATTTCCTTCCCGATTTTCGGGACGGGACGGGACGGGATTTTTTTCCGTGCATAAAAAGAAAGTACTGTATTGCAGTTACCAAAAAAAGACATACGAAATCAATTTTTACCATTTGTGGCACTGATCTATAAAAACCAAAAAATGGGTAACAATTTCCAGGTACCTATAGTAACTTGTGACTCGCGGGTCACGGGGTTATCGTCTGTATGACTCACGGTCACGGCGAGATCGTCGTCATGACTCGCGATCACGGCGCGATCGTCGGTATGACTCGCGGTCACGACGCGATCGTCGTCATGACTCGCGGTCACGGCGCGATCGTCGGTAGGACTCCGCGGTCACGGCGCGATCGTCGGTATGACTCCGCGGTCACGGGGTTATCGTTGGTATGACTCGCGGTCACGGCATGATCGTCGGTATGACTCG